CTGGCAAAAGAACTCTGCACCATGCCAGACAAACAGGAGAATTTAGTCATAAGTGTCAGATAATTTCTGTGACCACACCACCTCTTACATCTGGCCACCTAACTCCCCAGACTGCAACCCCCTTGATTATTATGTGTAGGTCACAGTTGAGTGAGAGACCAACAAAAACTCCTTGTAACACCAAAGATGAACTGAAGGCAAGGATTATGGCAGCATTCACCAACTTAAGCAAGAAGAGCATCCAGAAGAGTTGCAAGAGATTCCGAAGTTGTCTGGAGGCTGTAGTTGAAGCCGGTGGCAATTTTCTTGAATAGATTTACTCTTTAGTATTTCAATACATTTTTGTGTAATTTTGGTAAACATATCTGTTAAAATAAGTGATATTTTCATTTTTGCATAATTTAGATGACAATTTATCCATCGCACCCTCTGTGTGTTTGTGTGTGTATGTATATATATATATATATATATATAAAAGTTGATACTGTGGTCAGCACCAAGCAGCAGTTTGTTTCATGCTTGAACACAATCTTTAGGCCACGTGTATTGTGTTTTGGCTTGACTATTTACATATGTTGGTCGATGATGCATTATGGGTAGTAAGGTCTGTTCTATTATAATGGTTATGTTTCTAATTATTTTATAGGAATAATTGTAGGTACAAATGTGATTATTTGTAGCTACTTTATAGTGCTGTTAACTTTTTACTCGTTATTTATTATTGATTACTTAAATATCTGTTGTTGATTATCATTACATTCACTTGCATTTATGTGTGCATTGATAGTTTGTTAATTTGTTTATTATTTAATTAATCTGTTTATATATTTATTCAGACTTTTCATTTATTTTGTTTCAAGGGTGGTTATCTTATAGTGTATATATTTACATTTATCATGATGGTATTTCACAAGGTATTCATTTTTAAGTAGCATAGTAAAAATTTGGTGTTGTGTCTGCACTTTTATATATATAGGGAAAGAGCGGGGAGAGAGAGAGGGATAATTTACATTTAATGAAACTCAATACCCCATATGAATGGCTATTTCACCTCCTAAGAAAAAATTCCTTACCGAGGCTTTAACACAATTTTTTGTTTTGAAAAGCCTCTGTAAGGAATTTTTCCTTGGGAGATGAAATGGACATTCATATGGGGTACTGAGTTTCACTAAATATAAATTATCTATATATGCTCTATAATAAATATATTGAGCTCTCTTTGTGGATCAATTTTATTATTTTTATTATTAGGATTCACTTGGATTATTTACCCAAGGATTTATATATATATATATATATATATATATATATATATATATATATATATAAAGCATTATTAGTCTGAATAAGTCATTTTCAGGGACAAAACGCATAATATAGATTTTCTTTTATTTTGTTACTCAATTACTCACAGATGTGCACAAGAAATAATACTAAAAAATTTTTAAAAGTTCATTCATTTTAAAGTTCATTTTAACTTGGTCATTCATAGAAAAATAACAGAAGAAAAAAAAAAGTGTTTTATTTGCCTTTACTATAACAAATTTGCTTTACTTTTAGACTGTGGTTTACTTTGTTATTATAATGACTATAGATTCTTTAGATCCTTTTTGAAGATTTTTCTTGTATAGGGAAGGGCCACTCTTATTTTACAGTTAGTATCTCAAGGACTTTACATTTTAGGGGCAGATTCAGAATTTATACAAGTTATTGGGTAATTGTTTTTGGAATTATCTTGTGTGACCTGTACTTGTTTGTTGAATATTTAGTGACAACTCTGTATCAGAAGATGTCACTCAATATTAATAAGTAAACATGCATGATGTTACCATAACTATGGAATATCTCATTACTGATTAGTAAATAATCTGAACTGGTTGCTAATACATTACTTTTTATTTCTTTTGTTTCATAGTAGCTTTCATTGTATATTTTTAATTTGATGATTTTACAAAATAGAAAACTTTTCATGCATTTGACAATTTACTTAATCATATCAATAAGAATCCTAGATACTTACACAGAAAATATAACTAATGTAATATCAAAATTACTTATTTTGACACTACAGGTAGAGTAGTATCTACTGACCAAGAGACATTAAATAAAATGTATCACTCAACAGGAATTAAACTTGTATTCCCTTTAGTTTAGGAAATTACTTTCAAGCCAGGCCTGCTTTATCACTTAATAAGAAAAGTTAATTTAAAATAAAGAGTTTATTGCATTCTGCATCTTCATCTGATCACTCTTCTCTGGATGACTATTTTTTTCAACCATTTCAATCACTTCTTTCAAGACACAGATTTTTCCAATAAGAATCAAATTAAAAAAAAAAGCCTTAAATGAATTTGTCTGCCTTTGACATGAAGAAATACTGAAGAAAGCAACTGATGTCAAATTTGAATTTATACAGGGTGACCCCAAAAAATGGGAATTTTTGAAGTGTGTATTGCCAGACATGAGCAAGTGGCAACATTGCGAGACAGTGACCTTGAGCAAGTAAACATTTCGCCATTTAGAATTCAAGATGAAATTCACAGTATCCCAGCTGAGATGTTGCAGCAGTCAATGAGGAAACTCAACAGCAGATTTCAAGAATGCATTCGTACAGGAGGATGCCATCTACAGGACGTAATTTTTAAAAAATGAAAATTCTATCATTGTTTCTTAAATGGCATGTTTTAAGGTTTCAATTACTATGAATAAAATATTTTTCTTCCATCACTCTTGGTTTTATTGAATTGTTAAAAAGTTCCCATTTTTTTGGGGTCACCCTGTATATAGACAAGCTGAAGAGGAATACTTTGATTAAACAAATCATTTTTGTTTTAATTTTTAAAACCTGTTTGTTTAGATCAACTTGCATTTTTGTATTTAACAATTTGATCGTATTTTAAGTCTACTAGAATTTTTTTTGCAACATGCTAACTTGCATTGAAATCTTCACAGTATTTAGTATTGTTGAAGTTATTGCTAACATTTTTTGTCGAGATTTACAATTCAATTTTCCAAATCAATCAATGAAATATAAAAACTTTAAAGATATGAAGAAAAAATATTGCATTTTTATTCAATAAGTACTTTTTAATCATTAAATTGTTTTTAAATAGTGGGAGTATTTTTTATGTTCAATAATAAAACTTTTAGTTTTTCCCAAAAAATTAATGAAAATTTATTGTACTAAGCTATGCACACTAGTAAAAACAACTGTACTTTGTAGCCCATTACCTGTTTGCACTTCTCCCTAAAATCTGGCTTTGATTGGGCAATGTATGGCTATTTTAGAGGGTGTGGTGAATGGATGGACAAACTAACGGAAATCACAGAATTTTATAGATAGATAGGAAAACAGGCACAGATAGATGAATTAATAGAAGAAAAAATATAACAGCAAGATTTTGTCTTTCATAAACTTATGGTTAAAATTTGTATGACTGCAAGTTTCATTCTTTTTTTTAATCTTAGATAAATAAAATGTTTTTAACCATTTTTCTTTTTTTAATAATGTTAATATTTTTTTTTACTTTACCTGTTAAACTTATAAACAAGGTTGATTATGTAACATCACCTTTTTGAAATTCACACTTTCTCTTCATTTTGCCCTCCATGCATTTCTGTATCTCCAAGTTTTCTGCAGTCATTATGAATGGTTGTATTCTCAATTGGAATTCAAAGCCCACACCAGACCTCAAGTGGAATTCATATACAATCTAAAGTTGCTGGAAAAATGGTCAGTTCCCTGTACCACTCCAGAATTTACCAAAGTTCTCCTGCCATCCACTATACTTACAAGAGTCAGATGAGACCAAAAATGGAGTATTGCTGTCATGTCTGGGTTTGAGCTGCCCAATCCTTATTTTCAAGGCTCTGCAGAATTCAAAAGAATTTGTGCAGCCTTGTGGGTGATGAACTGTTTCCTAATCTACAGACATTTTACCACACAGATGAAATACTGCTTCCCTCTTACTACTCTATCTCTATAGCAGATGTTTGAGCAAACTACAATCCTTGGTTCCACTAGTTCAGACTTTCACAACTAAGACACACCAGACCATGGACACTGAGTTGACTCATCCACATTCCCTGCATATTTCATTGGTGAGGAGGAAGTTCCACTCAGATAGCTTATTCCCCAGAATTGTTGAATTATGGAATAGATTCTCAAGAGGATGCTTACCAAATCACTACAATCTTAACTTCTGTAGAGTAATTGGCTATGGTTAAATGTAATTGATGGAAATGCTCAACAGACAGAATTGACAAAGTTTGCAATAAACAATTATAAGAGAAAGAAAAGAACAGAGCAAAAGAAATAATATCAAGCAAACAAAAACATATATGCATGGCAAAGCAACAGCAATAAGGCAAAACATTCACAAACAAAAAATTAACACACAAAAGGGGATACTGACAAGCACTCGCAGTGTTCTGGCTTCAAGACATGAAAGAACAGAACTGAGTCTGCATTTGTGTGTTCTCTCTATAAATTTTTTTTGGGGGGGGAGCTTTTGCAGTCATTCCTACTGGAACCAATAATCTCTTCAAAGTGAAGGCCAACTGTTATTTATCCTACATATCCTCATACTATGCATCTCATTCTCCCTCCTTGTAAACCCTTACAACAACCTCTTTTAGCAACCCTCTACCACAAGTGGTTCTTGGTCCTTATAAATCATTCTTTTAGAAATGATATTTAGTTTCTGAGAAATCCCCAATTTTCTATTCTTAACTTCCATACTTCAAATTATTATTCTCATTTTCTATGGTTTATCAACACTTTGCAGGTTATTTAAAGCCAGAAGATATTTTTAGATTATAAGATTTTTTAGAGATAATAATGATTTAGTGATACGAGTCTTAATATTTAACACATAGATAGGAAGGAAAGAGGTAGACTCATACCTTTCCCAAGGGTATTTGCACATAAGTGAATATAATGAAACCAATTGGAATTGGAAATTGGCTCTTCAGTTAACAATTCTGAGACATTATCCATGACACTACCTGGAATTCCCAAGTGGTCACCCATCTAGGTATTGACCAAGCTTGACATTGCTTAACTTTGGTGATCATATGGTAACCAGTGTTTCAATGCTATATGGCTGTAAGCCTCCACACTTTAGGTAAAAAATGCTAGTGTTACGCCCAAGATGATTTCAACTGTACATTTTTATTTTTTTACCATAAATAGTGGAACATTCAGCTAAGAAGCTTTTTTTTTTTTTTCAGGTGATTTAGAACATTTCAGGTAAGACTGAAGCAGTAATCTTAATATTACCTGGTATTGTAACAAAAACAAATGTTCAACTTAATTATTTTATTGATTTGTTACAATTAATGCTCTATCTTTTAGTACTGAGCACTTTAATTTTCCAGGACGGCTTAAAAGCATTGTCTTCCAGAAATACCCCACTTGACCCTATATTTTTGACAAAACACAATCTTTTTTTTTATTACTATTATCTGATGCATTTATTTGTTGGAATATGCCTAAAATACATCTTTTGTAATGCTTTTGTGCTTTTTCAGACATAGATAAAAATATTCAAGACTGAGATTTTAAATTATATATAAAGTTTAGTTAAGATCATCCCAGGTATCCAAGAGAAAAATCACAAGCATACATATTCATTCATATTATCTAAATAAGAGGTTAAACTGCTCCAAGGTGGTGTAGACATTAATAATTAGGTTTCCACATCAAAAATTGTAAAGGAAAGGGAATATTCTGCTTTTCCGTTTCACAAACCAAGAATAGCTGCTTATAAATAATTGTAATCTACTGAATATTCAAACACTTATTACTGACATTTTTTACTGCATTATTCACTGAAGTAATATTTATTCCCAGGAAAGTAATTACTTGAGAAAGAAAAAATGACTTAATAAGTTTCAAAGTCCCAAACATTTGTTTAAGCTATGATTTTATTTATAGTCTTCTAAAAACTGATGAAACAATACAAGAAAATGCTGAAAAGTTCTTGGTCAATCCCCTTCCACAAAATCAATAGAATGAAGAATTTACATTATTTACAGCTGAACTAATGTTCTCATTTTTCTTTTTATATTCCCAACTTTTCAGTTGGTATATACTTTGGCCTTCTTCAGGTTCCTCTCAATCCAAGTAACCATCAGGGAACTTCAAACTAAACCCTTTATTTAATCTGTATGAATGGACTGTTCACATTCCCCTAATCATAAGGGATTTCTCTCTTTTTAAAACTGCTTAGTTATTGTTAGTCCCTTTTCCACTGGGTCCACACTACCTAGTCCAGAGACTGAACTCACATTTACTAGACCACAAAATTCACAAATCTTTTATGCTATTGTCCTGTGAAATGAGATGTTCCTAGATATGGGTAGTAAAATGCGAACAATCTACTCTTGTAGATTAAATAAAGTGCTCAGTTTGAAATTCCCTGAAAGTTACACAGATTGAAAGACACCTGAAGAAGGTTGGAGAGCAGAACAACAAAAACAACAACATTAGTCTAACTGTAAATAACAAGATTCGGCATTGAAATACTGATTTTTGGAAGTTGGTCTGACTGAGAACTTCACAACAGGAATTGAGGAATTTTAATTAGACTGGAAAAAAATTTCTGGGAAAGTCAAAAGCCACTGCTTTAGTTCAGAACATTTGCTGACAAAGAATTAATATAATGCACCACATCTATTGACATCTATTTGAAAGTGCAATAAAATGTCATCATTTTCATGTTTGGAGAATTTGCGTGTGTGTATTTTTTATTTCTGTCTTGCAAAAGCAAAATTTGATTCCAACATGATGATTGAATTAATGGGAACCTTATGAGCAATGTGACTAATTAATAAAGATATGGCAGAAAATAGGGCCAACTTAACAGGCTAAATATATCTGAACAGGATTCAAAAGAAACAGCTGTTTAACATAGCCTACATACAAATTACAGTTCCAGCAGTTATTAAAAACAAAAATAGCAGATACAGTGAAACAGCAAATAAAATTTTAATGAAGGCATACAATAGAATGTTGTGATGGCTGGAGTTTGTCCGAAACCTTACTTAAGCGTTGAGCAAAAGGAATATCAGAATGAGTACAAGCATGTCCTCAATGAAGTTACTGTTTGCTCATAGAATGAAACAACATATAGCATCTCACAAGTTCAGTTCTAAAGATTATTGGCGGCTCTGTAAGAATGTGCTAAATAACAGCAAATTCTCAATCCCTCCCCTATTCAATCAATTTGAAGTCCTGACATCTACAGCAGATAAGGCTGAATGCTTGACTCATCTGGAGTATCCACACCTGATTTGCCCCCTAGAACTGAGGCCATACTGAGTGATATACACACAACCCTGTCACTGTTCTTGGACATCATCTCTAAATTAGACTCCCATAAGGCAAGTGGAGGTGATGGGATACCAGCTGTCATCCTAAAGAAATGTGCTTCTAAGTTGGCTCCAGTTCTCTCCAAACTCTACAACTATTGCTTCTTCCTGTTTTCCAGCTTATTGGAAGTCTTCCTTTGTAGTCACTGTTTTTAAGAACGTTGGAGAACCTTCTGACCCTTCTAACTACTGCCCTATTAGTCTCCTACTGATTTTTGACAAAGTATTTGCGGCTTTAATCAATGCTTACCTCTCACAACCTACTCTCTGACAAACAATATGGATTCCATTTTGCCCAGTTACCACTGACATACTTACAGCTATCACTAAATATGTATATCAAACTCTTGATAATAATGGCAAATCACAAGCTGAGGCTCTAGATATCTCAAAGGCATATGAGAGGGTTTGGCATGCTGGTCTTCTAGATAAGCTTCAGAGCTCTGGTACTACAGAACAATTATTTGATTTAATCCAATCATTTCTATCAAATTATAAAATGAAGGTCATTCTGAATGGGCTTGCTTCCAGGTCCTCTTGCACAAACACAGGTGTCTTCCAAGGCTCTATCCTGGGTTTTACACTGTTTCTGATCTTCATCAGTGATCTTCTTGATATCATCATTTTCCAAGTAGGCACTTATGCTGATGACACTACCATTTACTCCTGTCCCAATAGCAAATCCGTCAGAGCTGACAAAGTTAACCTGACTGATGGTCTTGAAAAGGACTGCCAATCAGTGGTTAACTGGAGCAGGAAATGGCTTGTAAATTTTAATACCTCCAAAACTAAACCACCATAGAGAAACTTCTCTGCCTACCATCAGCATGACTGATGTCTTACTGTGCCTTCTTGGCCTCATGTTTTCAACTGACTTAAAGTGGAACAACTACAGTGAATCAATAGCTGTATCTACTGCAAGGAAAGTTGGTTTATTGTGTTGTGCCAAAAGGTTTTTCTGATCAAAGTTCATATTGCACATTTACAAATCTACCATTTGTCCATGTATTGAATACTATTGCTGATCTGGTGCCCCTGCTGTTCATCTTCATGTGAGGTCCTTGACAAAATCCAAAGAAGGATCTGCAATGTAATCGATCCTGACTTGGCATCTTGACTTCAGACATGATATGGCTTCCCTTTGTCTTTTCTCCAAATATTTTCATGGCAACTGCTCTGACAAGCTTTTTTACCTTGGTGCCCTGACTACATAAATTTAAGCGTGCTACTAGATTGGCATCTAGGTCTCACCCTTTTACTGTTGAAATAGTTAAATGTAATTGCCACTTCTACTTTAACAGTTTCTTTTCTTGCACTTCCCAATGGTGGAACTCCCTTCCACTTATTTGCTTCCCTGATAGCTACAATCTTCAAAAAATTTAAAATACAATGTCAATCACCATCTTCTGTTGTCTTGAACACCATTCATCTTTTATACTTTCTTCAATGCCCCATATACCAAGTTTTTCTCTCACTTTCACACTCTGTAAACCCGTATGTACTAGTGGCACTCCTGCTTTGTTTGGGGTGAAATGTTTAAAAAAAATAAATAAATGATTTATCTAACTAAAGTAATGCCTCTTGAGTGAATAATAATAATATATATATTTTCTTGTATTTTTTTCTTTTCAACTAACTCTAGTTTCAACTTTATTCACTTGTGCTCCTCCATTCATGGGCAGTTTTAATCTAAAAAGATATGCAAAATATCTGAGGATATTAATTCAAATTTACATTATATATATTTTATACCTGTGTGTTCCTGTATGTATGTATGTTTTTCAAACTAGTCACAACACATTACATTGCATCTAAACATGTTTCTGTTGTTAATATTTTGTTCTCTGATGTTATAGAACCGCATCACAAATTTACGACTTGCATTTGCTATTCTGCAATCGTTATCATCACATAGCAATCTTCTATGTCAACATGACAGAATATCATCTTTGATGGTGAATATCTTTAAATGTCCATATAACTACTCTGAAGATGGTTCATGTGAATCAAAAGCTTAGATCAAGGAACAGCATAACAAAAAAATATCCAAATGTTGGACAAGTTTTGTCATTATTTTCTCCTAAAATTAAAGTGACTATATGAAGTTTAGAATGGCCCATAATCAAACATAATCGACATTCATTGTCTGTTATATTTAACAATATAAGTTTGAATGATGTATATATACATACATATTTATTACTTCAAATATTATTATAGTAAATACTCATATTTGAAATAGAAGCCCCATTTTAAACAGTGTGTATTACATCTATCAAGGTATTTTCCAGTAGGAATCGAACCTGCATCTTTGTTGGGGAAAACACTATTTGATCCAACATTCTTTACTACTCAATCCTGAGGAACGTCACAGTTAAATAAGGCTCTATTTTCCATTTTTAAAGCATGACGAATCATATGTTGGGTCCCCCTGCAAAGAAGGATGCAGGTTCAATCCTTGCTGAAGAACGCATTTTGTTTATTAAGATTTCTTGAATGCACAAACTGATAGACAATAGAGATAATGCACACTGTTGAAAATAAAAATGGGGCATCTATTTCAGATATAAGTGTTCACTATAATAATATTTGAATAAAAATGTTGCATTAAAAATATATATATATATATATATATATAATAAATAAATATTTGCATACGCTCTATCTCTGATATTGAGCACTTTATCCTGTAAGTATAGCACACCTTAAAACTATATATATATATATATATATGT